TTTCGTCGCCCGTAAGGATTACAGCCCCGTTGGCAGCGCCCGCATGTCGGCCCCGCCCCAGTGCGCGCTTCGTGGCCCCAGAAGGAGGAAGACAAAGTTGAGGATAAATAATTATGCTAACGGAGTTCCCCACACCAAGATGTTACGGGGTTCCATTGCTTCTTGTCTGCGCTCTGGTGGGGCCTCCCTGGAGGGGTGGGAGGGGCACGAAACCTGATGAATAAGCTGGTGTGCGAATACCCTGCCCGCTCTGGTGGGGCCTCCCTGGAGGGGTGGGAGGGGCACGAAACCTGATAAATAATATGGTGTACGGATACCCTGCCCGCTCTGGCGGGGCCTCCCTGGAATGTTGGGAGGGGCGCGAAACCTGATAGATAACATGGTGTGCGGATACCCTGCCCGCTCTGGTGGGGCCTCCCTGGAGGGGTGGGATGGGCAGGATACCTGATAAATAACATGGTGTGCGAACACCCTTCCCGCATTGGTGGGGCCTCCCTAGAGGGGTGGGAGGGGCACGAAACCAGATAAATAACATGGTGTGCGAACACCCTTCCCGCATTGGTGGGGCCTCCCTGGAGGGGTGGGAGGGGCACGAAACCAGATAAATAACATGGTGTGAGAATACCTTGCTTGCTCAGGCTGGGCCTCCCTGGAGGGGTGGGAGAGGCACGAAAACTTATAAATAGCATGGTGTGCGAATACCCTGCTCGCTCAGGCGGGGCCTCCCTGGAGGGGTGGGATGGGCAGGATACCTGATAACATGGTGCGAATACCCTTCCCGCTCTGGTGGGGCCTCCCTGGAGGGGTGGGAGGGGCACGAAACCTGATAAATAGCATGGTGTGCGAATACCCTGCTCGCTCAGGCGGGGCCTCCCTGGAGGGATGGGTGGGGCAGGAAACCTGATAAATATCATGGTGTGCGAATACCCTGCTCGCTCAGGCGGGGCCTCCCTGGAGGGGTGGGAGGGGCACGAAACCTGATAAATAACATGGTGTGCGAATACCCTGCTCGCTCAGGCGGGGCCTCCCTGGAGGGGTGGGAGGGGCACGAAACCTGATAAATAACATGGTGTGCGAATACCCTCCTCGCTCAGGCGGGGCCCCCTGGAGGGGTGGGAGGGGCACGAAACCTGATAAATAACATGGTGTGCGAATACCCTCCTCGCTCAGGCGGGGCCTCCCTGGAGGGGTGGGAGGGGCACGAAACCTGATAAATAACATGGTGTTGCGAATACCCTCCTCGCTCAGGCGGGGCCTCCCTGGATGGGGTGGGAAGGGCACGAAACCTGATAAATAACATGGTGTGCGAATACCCTCCTCGCTCAGGCGGGGCCTCCCTGGAGGGGTGGGAGGGGCACGAAACCTGATAAATAACAGGTGTGCGAATACCCTCCTCGCTCAGGCGGGGCCTCCCTGGAGGGGTGGAGGGGCACGAAACCTGATAAATAGTATAATGTGCGAATACCCTGCCCGCTCTGGTGGGGCCTCCCTGGAGGGGTGGGAGGGGCACGAAACCTGATAAATAACATGGTGTGCGAATACCCTGCTCGCTCAGGCGGGGCCTCCCTGGAGGGGTGGGAGGGGCGCGAAACCTAATAAATAACATGGTGTGCGAATACCCTGCTCGCTCAGGCGGGGCCTCCCTGGAGGGGTGGGAGGGGCACGAAACCTGATAAATAACATGGTGTGAGGAAAGGCATGGTATGGTATGGGATGGTGGATGCATGGTATGGTATGGTAAGGTATGGTATGGAGTGGCATGGTATTGGTATGGTATGATACAGTATGGGATGGTGGAGGAAGCGGGAGGAGGAGGAGGAGGAGGAGGAGGAGGAGGAGGAGGATGAGGAGAGGAGGAGGAGGAGGAGGAGGAGGAGTGATAGGAGAGGATGTTCTGGGAAAACAAGAACCCCACTCAGGATGTTGAGGACAAATAATAAGAGGAGGGGGGGGGGAGGGGGAGGGGACAAGCTAGGTGCGCTCGCGTCATATCTGACATCCTACCCTCCCTCCCATCCCTTACCATGGCGCAGATCCTGTCTCTACTCGCACAGTCGGATGTCGAGCAGGGCAATGGTCCCGAAAGGGTGCGCGATGCATTGTAGAGCACGGCGTGGCATGGCGTAGAAGAGCACCGCGAAGCGTAGTATCAACCTAGCATTGCATTGCATGCCGTGGCATGGCATGGGAAATGACGCCAGCGCTGCAGCGGGAGCACGAGTGGAAACGAGCGGAAGCGCGGAAATGAGGCCAGCGCTGCAGCGGGAACACGATTCTGAACGAGCGGAAGCACGCCGGAATCGGCCCGGGAGGCTGCCCGGGCGCCAGAAGCAGAAATTCAGTATTTTCAAAAGAAAAATGTGTATTGAAATGGCCTTTTGTTGGCGCCGCCTCGGAACTCGATTTTCCGGCGCCGGCCGGAACCAGCTCCGGACCCGGCCCGGGCGCCGGGGCGGGCGCCGGCTCGGGCGTCCGGCCCGGGCCCTGGCTCGGGCGCCGGCCCGGGCGTCGTAATCGGCCCGGGAGGCCTCCCGGGCGCCAGAAGCAGAAATTCAGCATTTTCACGAGAAAAATGTGTATTGGAATGTTTTTTTTTCGGCGCCGCCTCCGAACTTGATTTTCCGGCGCCAGCCGGAACTGGCTCCGGACCCGGCCCGAGCGCCGGCCCGGGCGCCGGCTCCGGCGTGCAGCCCGGGCGCCAGCGGAAATGAGGCCAGCGCTGCAGCGGGGGCACGATTCGGAACGAGCGGGGCCCGAAAATGAGGCCGGCGCCTCAGCGAGAGCAGCATTTTGGAAACAAATGCAAGCGAAAACCCAACTCCGGGGAAACCTGTGTGTGAAAAAACAGTGCGCGGGGGGGGGCCGAATACTCCCAAGCTGTCATCAGGGGAAGAGGGAGAGTAGTAATCATATTGAGTAATTGTGGAGGAGGAGGAGGAAGGGAGATTAGGAAGGAGGAGGAGGGGAGGAGGTGGAGGAGAGAAGGAGGAGGAAGGAGAGAGGAGAGGAGGGGGGAGGAGGAGGAGGAGGAGGGGAGGAGGAGGAGAGAGGAGGAGAGGAGGGAGGGAGGAGGAGGAGGCGGAGGCGGAGGATGATGAGGAGGAGGAGTCTTGCCCACCGAAGGCGGCGACACTCATAACGACGGTACCCACAATTGCATCCGGTTGGGTCCTTCGCCAGACCAACGTTCTCAGTCTTCGGCCTCTGGGGGCCGTCGCAATGCCCGGGGACCGTAACAAAAAGCGACTGAGGTTAGGTCGGGCGTGTCCCCCTACAGGCGAATTTTGGAAAACAAATGAGAAATAGTCAGACGTAATCAAAACAGTCAAATAAGCACGACCAATCGTCACCAGACTCGAGGGACATGCCCGACTTAGACTAAGGATGAGAAGCCTTTCCTATAACTCCCGGAATGAAACGCAAGCTTTTATCCAATGTTGATGGACGCGCGCAGCGCGGCCCGCGGGATTCCAGAAATTGCGGTCGCCGGCTTCGGCGTGAATCTTGAAATTTGGGGTCGGTGGGTGCTGCCACGTCGTGGGGAAAACCTGCTTTCCATTTCCGAGGATGGATGTAGGGAAGGGGGGCCCAGACCCCTGGAGGTTCACCTTGTGAAAAGCTCATCGCGTCGGAGGTCTGGGGAGGTCTGGGCCCCTTCCCTGGGACCAGCTTCTCATTCCGAGTCTCATGGAGCAAGAAATCCATCCTCATAATAAGCACCCTGGCAAGCGAAGCGATCTAGTAAACGCACCCAAGGAAGGACTCGAACAGGGCAGGGCTGTTCAGTGAACGCCCAGGGCCGTTCAGCAAATGCCAGTTCTCCTGGTCGGGGCTGTTTTTCCTCCCTTGAACTCCTGAAGGCAGCGGGGGGCGCCCCCGCACGCCAACTCCACGAGAGCCCGCCGCGGCAGCCAGCCGCGCCACTGGATCCAGTGGCCCTCCCAATCGTCCGACGTCGTGTGTTTTCATGACGTGCCTCCTCAGAAGTCTGGACCCCGTCTCGAGGGTCCGCTTTTCATCCCGCGTCGTTCTTTGACGCCCCTGGGGCTCAGTGAGGGCCCACAGGGGCCGAAAGTGGCCAAGAGTCTCCCGCCTTGTTTTTTCACGGCCTGAGGGCGTCAAGGCCCGCGCGTGGCAGCTCACGTGGGCGATGAGCGGGACCACCACGGGCCCCTCGCGACGTGGTCCGTTCTCTTCTGCCCGGTCCCCCGCCGGCCGCCAGCCGCGCGCGACTTCCCAACGCGTCGCCGCGCGGCGCGAACGCTCCCGCCGAGCAGAAGGGCTGTGGCGGAAGAGGTGCTCTTTTGGCTTGCGTTCGCCGTGGCCGAACTTACGCGTGCCTGTGTGTGTGTGTGTGTGTGTGTGCGCCCACGTCGTGCGCTGCGGGGTGATCCCGCGCATCGTTGGCCACGCGAGGGGGTCCTCAGGGAAACGAGTCCTGCGGCACCTGGACAAGGCTTGCATCTCGAGTAGTTGTTTGACGGTCCCAGGGCCCAGGGGCGGCCGCGAGAGCCCGCAAGCGGCGAAAAACCTCAAGACCCAAATCCTTCAGAACCTGTGTTCTGCACAGTGGTCCTCCCGACTCGTCAAAATCGGTCCGTGGGTCCTTACTGGGGTCCATCTCGGCCAGTTTCTCGAGCTGCGTCCAGCCGTGGGATGGCCACAAGAAGCGACTGAATTAATGGTTGACTTCTGATTCCTTCGCGCCTCTCCGCTGTCATGAAAAAAACGGGCACTCCTACGTGATGGCCTCTCATCTTACCGAAGAAAAAAAGGAACCGAGAATGAACATATGATATGGCGGCTACTCTTCCTCTTTATGTCACTGTAAGTTCCTATTCTCCCCTGATCGATCCGCTCCGTCACTATATATGTATATTTGCAATATATAAATGTCGCTGTGTGCATGTCTATGAGTGTGTATGTATGTATGTGTACATCTGTATATGATCGCTGGATGGGCTGGTGATGATGTACACACGCGCAATATGTTTTTCATCCCGAGCTCTTCTTTTCACGCCCCCAAGGCTTTGGAACAAATGCCAAGCAATCCCGAAGACGGCGACCAACCTCAGGACACGTTCCCCATCAAATCTCAGGACCCGTCCTCGTCATGGCGATCTTCCAATATCCGCTGGAAATCAATTCCTGAACCTTCGCTGGGGTCAATCCTGGCTAGCTTTTCGAGCTGGGTCCAGCCGTGGCGACGAGACATCCCAGAACTGCCCACTAGACCTCCGAAGCGAAAGCGTCGACGCCGTCGACGTGCCCGATCCTCTGACCAACTGCGCTGGGGCCTTCTTGGCGTTCCTGAAATCGCCTCTCTTGCTCATCGCTTTCAGGGCGTTGACGTACCCCATCTGCGTCTCCGCTTCGTCGCCCCGAAGCAAGGCGAGGACCGCCTCACGCCGCGACCCGCCTGCCCCAGCCAATCCCCCCCCCACCTCCTTCTCCATCCTCCTCCATCCCCCCTGCTGCATTCTCCTCCCTCCTCCCTCCTCCCTCCTCCCTTCTCCCTCCGCTCATCGCCCTCCTCCTCCTCCTCTGCCTCCTCCTCTTCTTCCTCCTCCTCCTCCTCCTCCTTCCCCCTCCTCCTCTTCCTCCTCCCTCCTCCGTCCTCCGTCCTCCCTCCCCCTCCTCCCTCCTCCCTCCTCCCTTCTTCCTCCCCCTTCTCCTCCTCCCCACGCTGATGGCGGCGCCGCAGCTCCGACAGCAGTTGCACGACCTCGTCGTCCGAGATCTCCCACAGGCCCGCCGCCGTCTTCAGCGCCTGGGCCCCCGCCTCGTTGTGTGCCCACGGTACACGGGAAGTGCGCGGCCGTGAGACGGATGCGACGTCCGTCGACGGGAGCCGACGTTTCCTCACAGGATTCGCCAGTGCGACATCGCTGCGAGGCTGAGAGGAAACCAGAGTGCGGGTGCGGTCGGCTGTAGTCGCTTTTGGGAGAATCATGTAAGTCGGGTTGAGCCAAAACGGCTACGGAAGGAGGACCGAGGCGAGAGCCAGCGGGAGAGGACGTCTCATCCGCTTCCGAACCCTTCTGAGGCTCGTCGCCAGCACAGGGCTCCACCCGAGAGGGGCTCGCAGCTACAGGCGGAAAACCGTCATGGGGGGCGTGCCCTATCGGATCGGGGTGGTCTTTTCCATCAACCTCCTTTGACAGAAAATGAGACTTGGGCTGAAAGAGACGGGACGGGGCATCAGCAGGATTCTTTTCCGACGGCACCCACCGCACCGAGAGACGAACGTTGCGGCTGAGACACCACGCTGCCATCCTCCTCAGGATGACGAGAACCTTGAAGTTCCGACACCTCCACCTGCCCACTGAGAGCACCAGGCCGAGGTTGTCGGCAAAAAGAACCTGGCGAATGTTGCGGCCGAAACGTGTGCGGGTCACGCGCTCGAGCCCGCGGAGCAGCGCCCTAGCCTCCAGCACTAAGATGTCATCCTCAGCCGAGAAAGGCCAGCCGCCGATGGTCCTCCAGGACGTGCTCTCCAGCATGGGCGAGGGCACCTCCGCGAAGGTGGGGTCGGCCATCAGGCCGCTCGTCCCGCAGGCATCCCACAGGTCCGAAGGCTCGGCGGGTATAGAGGTCGCCGACTGGGCCTCTCCAAGAGCGGCGGCCCGAGCGGCGACGTGGTCAGGGTCGAGGTAGCGATCGCGCTCACGAACACGACCCACTGCCGCAGCCTCGTCGGCTCCAACCCAGCGGCTGCAAAGTCCGTAGCCCCACTCGGAGGCGTCCGAGGCCACGATCATGGGGTTCCAGTCCGCTTCCCAGTCGGACACGAGCAGGACCATGAGCCCAGCGAACGCGCGTAGCTCGCCCGCGGCCGACGGCCAGAGGGCGACGGGCTGGTCGTAGTGAGCCCTGACGAAAAAAAAAAAAAAACAAAACAAAAAACAAAAAACAAAAAAAAAAAAAAAAAAAAAAAAAAAAAAAAAAAAAAAAAAAAAAAAAAAAAAAAACAAAAAAAAAAAAAAAAAAAAAAACAAAAAAAAAAAAAAAAAAAAAAAAGAAAAAAAAAAACCAAAAAAAAAAAAAAAAGCCCACCAGCAGGTCGCGTGAAACACCGACAGCGTCTCGCGCCGCAGCAGGCCGCAGAAGGTGGCGTGGCCGAGGATGGCCTCCACCTGCTGACCCGTCACCCGCCGGCGGCTGGCGAGGGCCAGGATGGCCCCTCGCACCCTCCAGAAGCGCTTGGCGGTGAGGCGGGTGTGCCGCCTGCGGTCGTCCAGCAGAACGCCCAGCGCCTCCACCCCTTCGTCGGAAACGTCGACCTCGTGCACCGCCAGCCCGCGAGACTCGAACGCAGAGACCACGTCCTCGAGCTTTGAGGCCACGATGCGGCCGTCGGCGCCGAACACCCCGATGTTGTCCACGTAGATGTAGCGGCGCGTCGCAGTGGCGCGGTCGCGACGTGAGCAATTGTCATTGCGTTCGTCGCGACGTCCTGAGAATTGCGCATCGTGGGCTCCTGGCTCGAGGCTCCCTGGATGACGCCAGGCGCAACAGGCCGCGCACTCGTGGGCAGACCCTGGATGAGCGGCGAATCCGCAACGTGTCGCCACCTTCGACTGGCAGAGCTCGGCGTTGCGTTGCATGGCGCGTGGCGCTGTGCGTGGTCAGCGTCACGTTATCGCATCACAGAGCGCTCAGCGCTGAGCGTCACGTCCCTCTCCCCTCCCGAAGCGGCGCGACTCCAGCGGCAGCGCGGGGAACGGTCATATAATGCGGGGCGTTCCCCCCAAAATCCCCCCTCTCGCGATCCGCCATGAGGGCCTCCCTTCCGTCGTCTCCTCCCCGCCTCCGGGCCCGCATCCTCTCCTGTGCGCTCGGGTGGCGCCGTGTGGCCTGCTGGCGTCAGGTCGATCGTCGATCGTCGCCTCGTCGTCCAGCTCTGTCGTGGCGTCGATCCCCGAATGCGTCGTCGATGCCCCGGAGGCCCCAAGTGAGCTGGTCGTCGTCAGGCCTTGAGGTCGTCTTGGTCGTCTTGCTGATGCCGTGGTCCCTGCTCGTGCTTTGTAGCCCTCCGGGCCTTTGTCGTGACATTTGACTCGTTGTTTCCTGTCGTCGTCGGTCCTCTGGAGGAGTCTTCTGCCGCCGATCGCAAGAGCCCCAGAGGAAGATCGCAGCCCCGGCTCTAGAGCCCTGGGCCGGGCAAAACGACGCACTCGCTTGAAGGCACCGAGCGACCCTCGAGATGCCGTGGATGCACCACATCGGGCTTGATGGCGGGCCAGGCCTCAAAGTGACCCCAGCCCGGGGCTGGGCCTCGTCAGCTTCCGCACACAATCCAGACACGGCCCCGGCGGGCCCCCGGCGCACGGAAGTCCCTCGGTGGCGGCGCGCACAGCGCCCAGGCCGACCGCGCCAGCGGGCCCCACGGAAACCCCAGCGCCGTCGGCGTCGCCGTCCAAGGCCACAAGGCCGCCAGCGGCGGCCACGCCCCCAGGGGCCTCGGGCCCCCCCGCAGGCAAGGGCGGGGCCGCCCGGAATGCCGCTGCCCACGAAGCCAGCGGCCTGGAGATGCTCGTGGGGATGTAGTGAGTTGCGGAGCGGTTCCTCCCCGCGGTCCCTGCTGGTCGACCGGGCCCTGCCCAGTGGCGATCTGCTGGCTGCAAGATAGCGGTCTCAGCGAACGGTAAAATCTTCCTCGCAGGCCCTGGGACAACGCCCATGTCGGCAGGAGACGATGGCCTCGCCTTCGTCGGCTCCATGGTCATGTCTCGTCGTACTTCGGTGATCGGGAAATTTTCCTCCCAGCGACTCAACGGCCGAGCAAGTCAGAGCGCACGGGCCGCCTGCCTCCGCCTTGGCCTGCCCGGCCTGTGGCGAGTAGCCCGCGGCCGTCCGCGAGCCGTTCCCGTCGACAGAGCAGCACTTCCGAAGAACGTACCCTGTAGATGGCTGTCCGAAGCCGAAATAACCCACGCCTTCGCAAGAGGGTTTTTCCCTCCTGTCGTCGTTGCGCTGTCCGCACTCCCCGAGCTATCTCCTCCACGATCCGTCGTCGTCGTCGTCGCTCGTCGTCGTCGTCACGCTGACGTCGTCGTCGCCTTGACGTCGTCTTGGTCGTCAATTTGTCGTGCTGCCTCGTTGAGCGATGCCGTCCTTTGTGGCGTCGGGTGGTTTACAGACACAGGATGCCCGGGAAATCCCGGGAAACGACTCTCGCTTAGGCGCCGGCGTCATTTTCTCCCAATATGCTGCTCTCGTTGAGGCGACGGCCTCATTTCTGCTCCCGAATCGTTCCGGATCGTGCTCCCGCTGCAGCGTGGGCCTCATTTTCGGATCGGTGTTTTGCCTCCGTCGTTCAGGATGGCGTTCTCGCCCCAGCGCGGGCCTCTTTCTCGCGCGCCCATCCGCCCGCCACCACCGCGCCGCACCACCACCACCACCACCACAACCACCACCACCACCACCATCACCACCACCACCACCACCAACACAACCACCACCAGCACCACCACCAGCACCACCAGCACCACCACCACCACCCCCCCACCACCACCATAAAACCACCATCCACCAAACCACCACCACCACCACCAGCGACCTAGCACCATTACCAACACAACCACCACCCCAGCACCACCACCACCACCACCATCAACAACACCACCACCATCACCACCCACCACCACCACCACCATCACCACCACCACCACCACCACCACCACCACCACCACCACCACCACCACGACAACCACACACACCACCGTCGCACGGCCGTACACCACCACCCACTACGCACGCGCGCGCGGAACCACAGGTCCGCTACGACACGCGTCCTCGGATAGAGAAAGTCAGCGCCATGGTAAGGGATGGGAGGGAGGGGTAGGACGTCAGATATGACGCGAGCGCACCTAGCTTGCCCTCCCCCCTCCCCCCTCCCCCCTCCGCAATTACTCAATATGAAAATACTCTCCCTCTTCCCCTGATGGCGTCCGGGTGATGGCCGCGCACCCTCCGCGTACTGTTTTTTTACACGCAGGAGCCCCGGGAAATCCCGGGAAACGACTCTCGCTGAGGCGCCGGCGTCATTTTTGGGCCGAGCGCCCCCCGCGTACTGTTTTTTCACACACAGGATTCCCGGGAAACGGGTTTTCGCTTGCGATTTCTTTCAAAATGATGCTCTCGCTAAGGCGCCGGCCTCACTTCTGCTCCCGAATCGTTCCGAATCGTGCTCCCGCTGCAGCGTGGGCCTCATTTTCGGATCGGTGTTTGGCCTCCGTCGTTCACGATGGCGTTCTCGCCCCAGCGCGGGCCTCTTTCTCGCGCGCCCATCCGCCCGCCACCACCGCGCCGCACCACCAACTCCACCACCACCACCACCACCACCACCACCACCACCAGCACCAGCACCAGCACCAGCACCAGCACCAGCACCAGCACCAGCACCAGCACCAGCACCAGCACCAGCACCAGCACCAGCACCAGCACCATACCACCAC